AGAGAGAGAGAGAGAGAGAGAGAGAGAGAGAGAGAGAGAGAGAGAGAGCACTGACAGTGCTGCCAGTCTGAAGACTCTGACGTTCTGAATTGAACTGTGAAGTTTGAACTTTTAAGTTGTGTATGAAGTTATGAACTTAAATAATTGTTAAATTACTAAATCCAAAGTTCAAAGTTCAAAGTTAATCATACTTTTTTCAAAGAGAAAACTAGGGCGCTGTCAGGGTCACAGTTTGAAAATACATTTCAAACTGCCGTTTTGGAGTCCAGTCCCCTCTTAAGTTTACACTGCAGACCAAACTCTGCCGTCGCGTGGCTGTTGCAGGACTGAGTTTGTAACTGCAGTCTAGTCATCCACGTTGGAGGGTCAGGCCGTTTTCCAAAAAAGAAAAGAAAAAACAAAAAAAAGATAGGGGCTCGTTCGACACTCCTTGGGGCGTCCTCGGGGTCCAAGGAAGTTTCCTTGGGGGTTGTCAAGGAAATTCCCGCCATCATTCCACCTGTCCTCGGGCACGTCGCCCCAGGACATTTCCTTGGAGCGATGTCAGACAAGAAAAAGAAAAGAAAAAAAAAATCAAATGTATTTGAGGCCTTCAGCCAATAGGGTGCCGCCACGATTCAGATTCTCGGTTGTAACGTCTCTCTACCCATGTGCCCGCTCCTCTCCGTGAAACGCGGATTCCTTTTGCCCAGGACCTCATGAGGTCCCTTGGGCAAAAGGAAGAAATGGCTGGGGAATCCTCGGAGCCCAAGGAATTTTTCCTTCGGAGTGTTCGGAGTGTTTTCACTTTTTTTTTTTCCGGCTGCATCCCCGAGGATAGGTGGAGCGAACAATTCCTCGGGGAATTTACGCGCCCGAGGAGTGTCGAACGAGCCCCATAGTGTCACTGTATCTTTCCAAGCTCTACCGAAAGATTCACTCTCGGTTTCCACGACTGATCTCCCATTGTGCAAAACGAGATTGAATCTTCCCCAGAACATGGAAAGATACAGCTCCATGATTTTTGTCTTCTGTGCAACGGGAATACGGGGGCCCAGCGGGATACACGGGCTGACAAAAACGCAGAGGCCCTAGGGGAGACACGTGCTGACAAAAACCCAGTTTCTTTTCTTTTTTTTTGTCTCGTTTTTTTCCTTTCTCAGATTTCTCCACCTATGCGTGTCATCCTTGGGGCCTTGTGTGGGTGCATCTTTCCATGTTGTAGCGGAAGATTCACTCTCTTTTTGCATGGCTCCACTCCTCTCGAAATGTGCAAAAAGAGAGCAAATGTTCCTGTAGAACATGGAAAGATACAGCGCCCTGTAATGACCCGCCATAGCACAGACTGAGAACACTGCTGATTTCTGGGATTTGCCACTGGAATGAATGCCTTGCCGTGATTCCCGCATTCTGCTGTGTTTTCCAAGTCTGTGTGTGTGTGCATGCCTGCCCGTTTGCTTGCCTGTCTGAGTGCTTGACGGTTGAGTGTGTGTGTGACCCGTAAGGGTACCTGTTGGTTGCAAGGCCCCGCAGGGCCGGTACTTACCTGTGGCCGTGACTTTGAAGGGTTGCAGGGGGGGTTAACACGCAGGTAGCGGGGGTAGGCCC